AAAAAAAGAAGGGAGTAAAAATAAGGAAAATAATGGGATATTATCACTTTGTAAAATGGAGAAAAGTCATAACAAAAAACCTAAAAAACCCTGAGGTACTAATAATAATTAAATAATACTTTCATTCTAATGGCTACTCAAACTGTTCCACAAAGTGTTGCATTTGCTGAATACAATGAAAATAAAACCATTTTTGTGAATAATTTACCAACATCTGTCACAGAAACTGTTTTATTTGCTGAAGTATTTAAAGATTTCCCAAATCAAGTTTCAAATGTCCACATTAATAGAGACTCAAGATTTGATACAACTATTGCATACATCAATATGAACTCTCATGAGGCAGCTCTTCAAGCTATTAAAAAATTAAATGGTACTCTTATTGAAGGTAAAAAAGTTAATATGTTCTGGTCATTGAGAGATTTTAAGCAAAGAACACAAAATGAAACAAATTTATATGTTAAATATATTAAGAAGTCTGTTACACAACAAAAATTACAAGAAGTTTTTGAAAAGTATGGACATACTTTATCTGTTAAATTAAGTTCTAATGAAAAAAATGAATCAAATGGATTTGGATATGTAAAATATTGTACTGTTGAAGAGTGTCAAGCAGCTGTTGATGCTAGAGATGAAATTGCTAAAGAAATTGGTGATGAAGGATTCCTCATTGCTAAATTCTGTAAACAACCTAAAAATCTTAAAACCAATTTATATATTGGAAATATTGATAAAACTGTTACTGAAGAACAATTTCTTAAATATTTCGAGACATTTGGACCAATTAAATGTGGGGCTGATGGGAAAAAATTCTACAGATTCTTATATGATGAAAAGTATGAAAAAAATAAAGGGTTTGTGAATTATGAAAATACTGAAGATGCTCAAAAAGCTGTTACTGCTCCAAGACATTGTGTTCTTGGAGATAGTGATATTCTTGTTACTTATTATAAAACAAAAAAAGAAAGAAAACAAGAATTTAAACAACATGCTAATGAAATTAAGATGAATGCTACAGGCAAATACAAAGAATATAATTTCCATGTCAAAACAGATAAAGCTGGAATTACTGAAGGAGAAATAAGAGATGCTTTACAGGATTGTGGTGGAATTTATTCTATTAAAATTAAGTATGTTAATTCAGAACCAACTGATGTTGTTTACATCTGTTTTGATAATGCACAATCTGCACATCAGTTTATTCAAAAAGCTCAAGTTCTTGGATGGACTGCTAATCCATTTAAGACAAAACAAGAAAGAAGTAATGCTAACAACTATTATAATGGTACTGGTATACCTGGTTTCCCAGTTAATTTCCTTCAATATTTCCAATTGTTCCCATCTGTTTTCAATACTTCTATGAACAGACAACCAAAACCAGGAAATAAACAACCAAGAAATGTTAGTGCTTCTCAAAATGCTAAAAAGAAGTCTAAGGTTGATAATAATATTAAAAAACAACCAAAGTCTATTGAAAAAGCTCCAACAGTCACTGAGGAGATGAAGAATAATCTTGGTGATCAATTATATGATTTCATTTTAGGTCTGGAAGATTATGATGAAGAAATTACTGGAAGAATTACTGGTGTTCTTCTTGAGTCTATTGAATATAGTGAATTAAATAACATGCTTAGAAACAAAATTGAGGAGCTTAAGAATGTTATTAAGGAAGTTTACGAAAATCTCAAAAAGATTAATAATTAACCAAAGAAAGAAAAAATGAAAAACAAAAATGAAATTAATTTAATTTTTGATAAAAATTTTTATATAGTTGCATAAAAACATTTTTCATTAAAAAATAATTTTGTTATTAGTGATTTGAAAAGTTATACTATTATGATAAAGTAGAAGATTGTTTGAATGAAGTGTTTTGTATTTCTTCTTTTGCATCTGTTATATTCTTGTTCATTTACTTCTTTTTATTTTTACAATTGTTAATTCTCTAAGTGCAGAAAAGTTTTATAGTGTTGTCTTGTTGTTTGAAGAGTTGAAGTATAATTTAGTTTTCATTCATCTTGGACAATCACCGCATCACAAAATGTTAGTTTGTTTCTGACTATGTCAGAAACAAACTAACATTTTATGAGCTTTGTAGTTTTATCTCGTTGTTTTGTAATATTTGTCTTTCTATTTTTGATACAATCAAGAAATGAGGTAATATTCTTCTATAACACAGTCTCTATTTCTGGAAAGGTTGTGTCAATAATACTTAATCAAATTTCCTGAAGTTTACATTTTCGATGTTTGATGAAGTTAAGATAAAGAAAAGCGAATTCTTATGAAAATAGTTGGGGTTGTTCATATTGTTATGAAGAAGATTACCGACGAAAGAACTATTTAAAGGATGGAGAAGTATGGAATAATCGAGTTGAAGAGACAATGACAATGCTTAATTTCACATATTACAATCCAGTTAGATTAATTTATGGAAAAGGGTCATTAGACGAGATAGAGAAACAACATTTAATTCCTGAAGATGCAAGAATCATGATGACATATGGAGGAGGTTCTATTAAGAAGAATGGAGTTTATGAAGAAGTCTTGAAACACATTAAGCCAATTGTAGAGTTTGGAGGAATAGAACCAAATCCATCACATGAAACATGTATTAAAGCTATTAAGATTGCTAAAGAGAATAAAATTAACTTCTTGGTTGCAGTTGGAGGAGGGTCAATTATTGATGCAACAAAATATATTGCACTTGGAATGGAACATACATATTCAGATGATCCATATGATATTTGTCTAAAAGGAGGAAAGTTTAAAGTAAATCCAGCACAAGCAAAAATAGGAGTAGTTTTAACAATTCCAGCTACAGGATCAGAAACGAATTGTTGGGGAGTTATTTCAAGACATGCAGATAAATTAAAGTTACCATTTAACAACGAATCTGTTTTTCCAACATGGTCTATTGTTGATCCATGTTTCACTATGTCTCTTCCAGACAATCAAATTAGAAATGGACTTGTTGATTCATTTGTTCATTGTATTGAACAATATATTGGAAATTATCACTTAAACCCAGTTGTAGAAGCAGAGACTGAAGGAGTAATGAGAACAATCATTGGAGTATCACACAAAACATTAGAAAATCATCAAGACTATCAAGCACGAATTACATTCTGTTATGCTGCAACAGTAGCATTGAACATGTCACTTTTATGTGGAGTTACACTTTGTGGAGGTGCACATGCTGTAGGACATGAATTAACTAGTTATTATGGACTTGCACATGGAGAAACATTAGCAATTACAACACCAGGAGTAATGAGATTTAATAAAGAGAAAAATGCAAAGAAATTGATTCAAATGGGAGAACAAGTCTTTGGAATTAAGAATAGTACACCAGAAGCAGCAATAGAAGCAACAGAAAAATGGTTTAAATCAATTGGAATGAAAACACGATTGTCAGAATGGGGTAAAGGAAAAGAAGAATTTGAAACTATTGCAAGAAAGTTTGAAGGTAATCCAGCTGGTGCACACAAAGACATTGATTACAAAGGATGTCTCCAAATTCTTAATGACATTTATTAAATTTAATTAATTCCAGTTTTTAAGATTTTTGTTGTTTTTAAGACAAAAAGAAATGAAATTAAAAAGAAAAGTTACTTAAAGTGAAAAGGCTCTAATTCGTAAAGATGTAATAACCGATTTAAGCGTTCTTCTAACCATTTTTTATTATCTAATTCTAACCAATCACTCGGCATACAAATTCCTTTTAAATATGTTCCAAGAACTGCTCCAACTACTGCCCCATTTGTATCTGCATCACCACCTTCATATGCAATTCTTTCAATTAATTCTTCAAATATCTTTGCTTTATCTATTCCTTTTTCTTTCATCTTAAATGCTTCTCTTAATGATAAAATAGCACATCCCATTGGTTTGAATGTATATCCTATAGATTCATTTAATTTCATTTCTTCAAGTGTTTTAGCATTTGTATATTCTATAAATTCTTTCTTATATTCTTCATTTAACATCTTTTCACTATCACTTCTTGCTTCTTGAATTATTTCTTCAATATCTTCTCGTCCTTGTAATAATTTTGCTAGTATAAGAACAATTATATTAACAGAAGCTTGACATCGTGGATCTGCATGTGTAGTACTTCCTATTTTCTTTGCATTTTCTTTAACTCTTTCTTCATCCCAGAAATATGGAACAGCTAAAACTGATGTTCTCATTACACTTCCATTTGGTGCTGCTTGGCATCCTCCATCTCTCCAGATTTTCTCACATAGTCCAATTGGGTCATTAATCCATCCTTTTCTTCTTACAGTCTTTCCAAAATTCATTCCGATTCCAAGTCCTCCTAAATCTCCTAATTCTGTAAATCCAAAGTGAATCCAATAATAACATCTTTTTGCAAAATCTATCACATCAACTTCTCCATTGTTATGAACAAGACTATCCAATATTAAAATGCATTGGTCTGTATCATCTGTCCAATCTGCACATCTATACTCTTCATTCATCCATTTTGATCGATGTTGGTCAATGATGTAATGATTATATGTTATATGTTCTCCTTTATAAAAATACCATGCATTTTCTTTACTAACAAATTCTGTAGATAATCCAACTGCATCTCCAACTGCTTGTCCAAGAACTAATCCAATGATTCTTTCTCTTAATTCTTTTGGTAATTCTTGCTCATGTTTAATAGCTTTAAATTCTTCTGGTAATGGATTAGGATATTCTAAAACTTCTGGTGAATATTCTAGAGCATGTTGTTGAACATATTCTTTAGCTTTTTCTGGTGATGTTTTAACTAGTTTAAATGGTGGATTAAGTCTAACCATTCTCTCAGACTCTTTGCAATAATCAAGGAATTTTGTCTCTTCATTTTCTTGATGTTGTGATTCATTGTTAGTATTATTAGTAGATGTTGTATTTCCCATCTTTTGTTTGTTTTTTTTTTGATTTTTTTCTTAAAATTTTTGTTTTTGATTTTTATAAAAATGGTTTTAACTGTCTCAATTAAAATTCTGAGTGTCTTATTTTTCTTTTAATAACTTAGAAAGCTTGTTATCGTTTTGTTTTACTAAAACAGTCTTTTCTTTCCCTATTCTCTTTTCTATTTCTTTACAGATTTCTTCTCCAATTCGTTCTATTTCATTTTTATTGTAAACTACTCCATTAACTATGATTGATTTAACAATATCCATTTTCACACTACTATATCTTCCTGGTGTTTGTGTTGAACAAATAAAATACCCAATTTCACTTAAAATGTCATTAATAATATTAATTGATTCTCTATATCCATTCTTTTTCTTCCGATACATCACTCTTTGTATATTTATATTATTTTGAATGTCTTTCTCTTCTAATCCATATACTCTTCGTTTGACTAATTCTTGTAAATCGATAACACCATCTTCGCTATTATTGAATTGAAGTTTTTTAATTTGGAAAAATGGCAGTGTGAGAACTTTAACATTTCTGCGTTGTTTCACTTCAACATCACAATGTCTATTTAACAGTGCAATACAAAATGCCCTGACTTTCGATTGATAGTTTCTATTATCTACATATACGTTTCTCGTTACAACGGACATTATATATTATTTTAAAGTTATTCTTCTCATGTTCCAATTTGTGTTTTAAATTTTTTCTTGCGACATTTCTTTTTCTAATTTTTCTTCATTTTTATGATTTAAATGATCTTTCTTTATTTCTTTTCTTTCTAAAACCTCTTCCTATTTCTATATTCTTTTGTACTATTACTTTTTGTTCTTAACTTTATCTCTCTTCGTATCGTCTTCTTGTGTCATTGTTCCAAATTCTTATTCTTGCACTTTTTCTTCATATGTTCATTTCTTCTCTTTCTTTTCTGTTCATACCTATTTCTAACGATAACATATTGTTTGTTTAAATAATTTAATATTAAGTAGTGCTGTTTTGATTTGGATATGGCATTAACACTATTTTTGTTCTGATTGTTTTTATCGTAAAAAATCCAAACTATATTTTATAAGTTATTTAATATATATGGACTAAATCAGAAACATCTCTATCGTTTTCTTTTTTGTTTCTTTTTGAATTTATATCCCTTCATTTCTCATATCCCTCTCAATATTTAAAATACTTTTCTTCACATTCTATTCTTCTCTCATTCATTGAAAATATCCTTTTAATAATTATTATCTCCATTTCTCAAAAGAAATAAACAAGTGAGTAACCTTTCAATAACAATTAAAACACTCTTCTCAACTCTATAACATCACCTCCATTTCCAATTTGTTTGTACTATATTAGTTTATGTTAATACTATAATTTTGTATTATTATACACACTCATACAAATCAATTTTTTCATTTTTATTAAAGTGATGTTTTTGGTTGAATATAAATTAAAAAAGAACAAAACACAATACTTAATTTCTTTGTTATTGTTTTTAAAATATCTCAGTGTCTCAAATAATTATTTAAACCACAATAAATTAAAGAAATGATTCTTTCCTTAATTGGCATGGAATTAATTGAGCTTAGCATTTGTAAAAACACAACAATAAATTATATGAACGAAATATTTAAAATGTTTTGATTATTAAAATAAAACAATATATTAGAACAACATAAAATAAGTGTGTGACATTGTTCATTGAAATGGAAAAAGAACAACAGAAGTGTTATACTAAAATATATTTGATTAGTTATTTCAATGTTTATGAATTAAATTTCTTAATAATCATTCAAAAATTTTGAATGAATAAGTATATAATGACTTATGAAATAACACCAGATAGAATAAGAATTTTTTACGAATTAATTATAAATTTTAATTATTTTTATTTTTTATTAAGAAAAGTTCAATTTTTAAATACAATTTAAAAATAAACATCTTTTCACAAAAAACTAGTTAAACTAAGTTTATTTTTCTTTTAGAGTTGGAACTCAATAAATCCTGCTTTCTTGAGAAAATCAGTAACTAAAGTAACATTACCTCCAATACTTCCAGTAACTTCCACATACCCTTCAATAACTTCTGGTTTCTTTCCTTTTACTTTTACTTTCAAAGGAGAAATTCTAAATGGAACAGATTTTTCCTTCTTCTCTTCTTTTCCTTCTTCTTTCTTTTCTTGTTTTCTTTTTGAGACTTTACTCTTCTCAAGAATTTCTTTTAATTCTTCTGCTTTGAAGTCAGAAGTATTAACCAATGCATAAATCATTCCTTCAGCGAGAACCAAGACACTTTTACCTGCTTTTTTAAATTCTGGAGCATGTTGAGGAATAAATGAAACACAAGTTGTTTGAGTAGCACCAGGGATTGAGGCAAACACCATTTTATTCTTTTCATCAAGAATTACTCTCATATACAAATTGAAAATTTCACCAATCATTTTACTACTTTGTTTTGTTAATTTTTTATAATCAGTAAAGATTCTTTCAAGAGTTGGTTGTAATACTTCTGGAAGAACACTGTAAGAATCACAAAGATCATTAATAAGATTCTTTTCCATTGCCATATTTTTATAAGCAGCATCACCAGCAACAAATCTAATTCTAACAACACCATCTGAAATTCTATTTGTTTTAATAATTCTAATAAGTCCAACTTGTGAAGTATTATCACAATGTGTACCACAACAAGCTTCAGTGTCATAACCAGAAATATCAACGATTCTAACTTCATTACCAGCAACAACACCTCCTTGGTACAAAGAAAATCCATATCTCTTTTCAGCTTCTTCTTTAGATAAAACAAATTTATTAATTTTCAAACTCTTTCGAATCATTTCATTTGCAAGTTTTTCAATTGCATTTTCTTCTTCTCTGGTAATAGATGAGAAATGGGTAATATCTAAATGTGCTTCTTCAACTGTTTTCTTTGCTCCATTTTGCCATACATGTGGACCAAGAACTTGATGTGCTGCTTGATGAATAATATGTGTAGCAGTATGATGAGCTCTTAATTGATTTCTTCTTTGATCATCAACATATCCAGTAACAACTTGACCTTTTAGTTCGTTCCAATTCTTAAGGTCTGAATTAATATGATGAAGAATACATTTGCCAACTTTTTCAACATAAGTAACATCGTAGATAACTCCATCAATTTTAATCTTTCCAGTATCATTATCTTGTCCTCCTCCAATTGGATAAAATGCACTTTCTTTCAAAATAACAAGGTTATGAACTCCAGTACCTTTTCCTTTTTCATCAACTTTTTCCAATATACTAACTATTTCACTATTAAATTCTCTTAAATCACCATTTTCATAGAAAAGTTCTTTTGTTTCAGGAATATCAGCAGTTTCATATAATTCTGTTGGAAGCATTTTAACTCTTTGATCTTCTAATTCTGCAAGTTTAGTATACAAATTATCTGGAATTGGAAGTTTAGAAATTTCATTAATTTTATCTGGAGATAATCCATATGACTTCATTGCAAAGATCCAATCATCAACAGTCAATACACCTTTTTTCTTTTTAAGTAAAGTTTGAACTTTTTGTTGTGACTCAATATCAGTAGTGCACCATCTTTGATACTCCATTTCAATAATCTTTCTAAATGATTTATATTCATCAAATTTACCATATATCTTTTCAAGGTCTTTTTTATGGCATTCAAATAATTCCATAAGTCCATCCATACCACCAAGTTTTTCCCACCATCCATTCTTAGCAAGAATACTAAACATTCTTCTTACAATATTTCTTAAATTAGCTCCTCCTCCTACAGCAGATGGTAAAGCTCCATCATAAATTGCAATTAACATAGTTCTTGAATGATCAGCAATAATATAAAGATCTCTTGCGGGTTGAATAGCTTTTTGCAAAACCTCTCTATTTTCAACTCCACATTCTTTAGCAATATCAGCCCATGCTTTATTTACATCTTTACATTCATCCAAATTAAGTAAACAACAGTATGGAGCAAACTTAGAAATAACATCACTTTCTAAAGTGACTCCAAGTTTTGATTGAAGATATTTAACTGCACCTGGGAATGCTTCTAAATAAGAAGTTGGTGTTCCATTAATTAACCAAGGAATTCTCTCAAGTCCAATTCCTACATCAATGACTTGATGTTTTAATGGTTCAAACTCTCCTTTAACAAAGTCAAGAATTTTATATTGAGTAAATACCATATTTCCAACTTCAAGTCCTTTAACAAACATTTCAATTGATGGTCCAAGATTTCCTCCACCACACCAAACATCTTCAATGAGAGTAATGTCATCAAGTTCAATTTCAAGTTCTTTTGTTAACCATCTAAGATTATAGTCAACACATTCTTCTTTGAAATAAACATATTTTTGAGGTGAATTAAATACTTGAAGACCAATCATAATAAATCCAGAAAAATGTCTTCCTGATATTCCAATATTATCAAGATCATTAAATCTAAGACAAAATTGTGGACAAATTAATGGATTTGCTGGTGGTTCTAATTGTCCAGTAACACAATATGGTTGGAAACAATAAATACCTGCAGCAACAAAATCTACATCATTTCTCCATCTAGCAACTACTGGATATCTTTTAATAGCAGTAGCTGGGATTTCTGTAGAAGTTAAAGCTTTTTCATAAGTTTTCCATGCTTCATCAATAGTAATTTTATGTCCTTTAGCTCCAATACCACAACCAGTTCCAATAAATTTATATTTTCCTTCACAATTAGAATCTCCACATGTTTTTACTCTAGTAGTGGCTGTACTCCAATAATGTTCATGGCAAATAGGACATTCATGTCGTTCAAATCCATACTTTCTAAGTGTATTAACAGGATAATACTCTTCAAAATTAGCAGCAAATTTTGGTTTTGATTTAGCTTTAAACTCTTTTGGAGTCATAGCTTTAACTTCTTTCATTTCAGTCATGCTTTCAACTAATGAATTTTTTAGTCAACCCTTTCAGGTCTTCTTTCTTTTTTTTTATTCGTAACACCCCTCTTTTTGTTTTTTCAGAATTTCCATTCATTAAACATTTCATTTTTCTCATTTTTGGTTCTAAGTTTTTCTTTATTGATAACACATTTTTCTTTTATATTTTATTTTTTTAATATCATGTAATTGATGGATGTATTTGACAAGTTAAAAACACTCTTTGTTTATATTTATAGACTAAGGGTTTTAGTGTTTGTTTTTCTTATTATTTTTCTTGTGAAAAATAAAATATTAAATTTTTGACGTATTGTTAAAGAAATAAATAGCTTATTGGTATATAATATTAAAAGTAAAAAACTATTTTATACTTTGGTTAGTAAATAATAGAACTATAAAAATAAACCAAAAATTGATTATAAGAGATTAAATTATTTCTTCTCTCTGAATTTATTTAATAATAAAGTAAGTCTATGAAAAAAAATTAAGACTAAAAACAATGTATTTATTTCAATAAAAATAAGTAATAACAAATTAAAATATTAATTATTTCTTAAACAGGAATGGAATAATTAAAGTTTCAAAATAATTTATTTAGTAGAAGTATTTATTTTTTAATATAAAATTCTATTTGATTAATTTTAAAATTATGAAAATTAATTAAAGTATTATTAAACAAATATAATCTCAATACTATTAAATATGATAAAAACTTTATTTTATAAAATAATTTTGTTATAAAATTTCTTTTAAAAAAAAAACAATTAATTATTCATAAATTTTTGTTATTATAAACAAAATAATACCGTATGTTAAAAGTCAATAATAGATTCATAAATGTTTAATTTTTATTGAAAAAAGAATAATTTTTTAATAAGTTATAAAGTAAAGAACAAGAAATAGTGAAAGAAAATCAAATGATTTACTAAGAAATTCAATATTCTCGTTTTTTTTTTTTATTAAAAGAAAAAGCTCAAAAAGTTAGTAAGTTTAGACTTTTGTTTTATACATGAAAGGAAAAACAAAACAAACAAAACAAATACTACATGACTTAAAAGAAAGATTTGGTGAAGGACCTTATGAGGTTATGATTGCTGGTACATTTGATTTAATTCATCCAGGACATATTCATTTTATACAAGAAGCTGCTCAATTTGGAAGAGTAATTGTTATTATTGCACGTGACAGTGTTGTTAAAAGAATAAAACAAAGAGAAACAGTATTAGATGAGAAAATGAGACAAAGTATTGTTGAAGGAATAAAAGGAGTGAGTGAAGTAGTTTTAGGATGTGAGAATGGGAATTGGTATGAGCCAATTTTAAAAAGAAATCCACATTTATTTTTAATGGGATTTAATCAACCTGGAGATTTGTTTCGTTTTGAGAAAGTAATTCATGAAAAAGGAGGAAGAACAATATTTAGAAGGTCAAATTCAATGGAAAAGTCATATTCTTTACAATCATCTTCTCAAATACGGAGAAGAGTAATAGAAATAGTAAATAACAAAATACAATAAAATATAATTATGGAGATACAAGGAAATAACAGTCATAAAGGAGAATAATTTTATTAATTTTCATTTAATATTTTTTATTATTAACAAATAAAAATAAGAAAAGTTTGGAGGTAAATTTACTTGAAATAAAATCAAGTCTCCTTCTAAACCAAGAGGATTGTAATTCCAAGTTCATATAAACTTAAAAAAGGTAATAACTTATATTAAACAATGGAAACAATAAAGGATGTTGTAATTGGGAAATCCTTTAATAACTGGATAATTATTAAGAAACTTGGAGAAGGTGGATTTGGTTTGTAATTTAAAAATAAAATAATAAAATTAAAAGAGTAAAAAGAGAAGAATATAAGACTGAAAGATTTTAGGGTCTGTTTATAAATGTCAAAGTATTATTGATCCAACACAATTTGCAGCATTAAAAATATTTTGTCAAGAGAATGATGCATTAACAGAAACAGAAATAATAAGAAAATTAGAACATAATGAAGGAGTTATTAATATGATAGAATGTGGATATTCTGATTTTGGGTATATTATGATTATGGATCTTCAAGGAATTAATTTAAAATTATTTAAAGAATTACTTCCAGAACATCAATTTTCACAAGAAACATCACTAAGATTATTATTAAGAATGATTAAAATTTTACAATTTATTCATAAAGAAGGAATAGTTCATTGTGATATTAAACCATCTAATTTCGTAGTTAAAGGAAAAGAAGATATTGTTTTAATCGATTTTGGTATTGCTGAATATTATCAAGACCAATTTGGAAATAAAAAAAATAGAAAAGAACATAGAGGATTTAGAGGAACTTTACAATATGCTTCTGTTAATGCTCATTTAAAAAAACCAGTATCTAGAACTGATGATTTAGTATATGCTTTTTTTATTTATTTTGAAAATATTCTTGGAAGTTTACCATGGAATAGTTTAAATGATTCTCCTCAACAAATTTGTGAAAAAAAAATTCAATTTAAAGAAAGTGGAATTTATAAATATACTCAAATACAAAGGCCTGTTATTAATTCTTTTCAAACTAT